ACACAAATCGCCTAGGGGTACAGTTCACGTTGCCTCGGATACAGGCCACTCAGGCGCCCTGTCCTGAACCAATCACACCAGTCACCCGAGGTGAAGTCCTCAGTCACCCCGAGGCGAAGTCTTCAGAGTGACCCGAGGCGAAGTCATCAGAGTCACCCGAGGTGAAGTCTTCAGAGTCACCCGAGGTGAAATCTTCAGAGTCACCCGAGGTGAAATCTTCAGAGTCACCCGAGGCAAAGACTTGGTTAAAAATTCACTTCCATAGTATCACTTCCGAATAGAACGGCATCATTTCCGAAAAAGAGGGATCATTTCCGAAATGCCCGGAAATGATAAGGGAGAATCTCGAAGGATCAACTCAAATCAGGAAAACTTCCGAAAACCCCAAAGAATAAGGAAACTATCCTAATCCGCGATATTCTAAGCGGACTTCAAGATAAATGGAAATCTTCCGAGAATATCGCTAGAGAGGCGGTTTACCATCCCTATATAAGAAGACTCAAGGCTCTCACAGAAGGGGAGGCAATATCGCTCTAGAATTTACACTACACAAAGCTCATAAGCACAAACACCTTTTCTTTTTACGATCAAACTCTTGTACGAACAAAACCATCTTTTGCTTAATAAAATCAAGAACACCATCTTTGGTTTCAATCCGTTCTGTTGTTCTTTGAGAATTCACGTTTATTGTATCCCTAAAATAAAAAATCCTAGACAAATCTTGATTGTGTTAGTTTCGACTTCCACAATATTCAATCACTAAACTATTGTAAATCTGTATAAAAGTATCAAATCTGAAAATCTAATGAAAGAAACTATCTCTAACCTTGAGAAAAGTGCTCGTCGAAAAGTGACGGCTAGAAGAAAAAGATGTCTTAGGGTTAAAGAGATTAAGGATACATATATTCTTTATATAGTGATTAGAATTTTAGGGTCTAAAAAATTAAAGAGGGAAAACACAAATTGCCGCTAGAATTTTATGGCGCTTTATTAATTGCCGCTAGAATTTAGTGAAAGTCAAATATTCAGTGTCTAAAACTAGGCCGATTATATTACTCGATGAGGTTATAAAATTCTACCGCAATATTTGACTTTTTGGATCCTGTTTTTAACGATAAGTTAACAATTTATCTACACTTACATAAAAGAATTCACAATTACTTTAAAATATCCTAATCCAGCTATTTTCTCCGTTATGATAATTTTGATTTCTTTCTCTTCTATTTTGTTAGTGTGATGATATATACACATCAATATTGCAACACTAATATTCAAATATAGAATCTTTTAGACTAAAACTGTTTAACTAAATTTGATTAAAAATAATAATAAAGTTTCAATCTTCATCAAAATTATAAAGAGAATGACAAGACAAAATTCTATAAAATCACTCTTCATCATCGGTTAGATTTTGACTCGAGTTTTCATCTTCAGCATCGGATTCAAAATTATGTTCTTCTTCTATATCATCAAGATCTTCTACTTGTCCATGCAGTTCCGTTAGCGTCTCGACTTGCAGTGTTTCAACATCAACAATTGGAAAACTGTTTTCATATTGCATTGCTTCAAAATCCAAATTTTGATTGAGCATCACTTTTCCCCTTGGTTGTATAACGATTGCTGCTTTTCATTGTTGATCTTTTTTCCTAGTCACCCGTGGATATGGTACATAACACACTTGATCAGCTTGTGAAGCCAAAATAAAAGGATCGTATTTTCCATAGACCTTTGCAGCATTAACATCAATAATCCCTGACTTGTTCACTCTTATACCCTTTCCAATGGTTGAATCATACCAATCACATTTGAAAAGCACAACTTTAAGATCAACAGGTCCAGGATAATGAAACTCTAAAATCTCTCTCAAAACTCCATAGAAATCATGTTCTTCACTTGAGCCGGAAGGTGATGTACTTTTAACACAAACTCCATAATTAACATTTTTCTTGTCTTTCCCATAGTCGTATGTGTGAAATATATATCCACGGCAAAAGTAAATAGGCCAACTAGTAACTTTTATCAACGGACCATGAACAAATGATTGTAACCACTTTGGATATAAACTATCACTCCAAGTATTTTCTACCTAATTAAATCAACAAAAAAACGTTTATATTAACAAATTAATCATAAGTTATAATTAATCATAAGTAAGAATCCAATGAATTATTACCTTCAGGCAAATATTCTTTCATGATCTGACAAATCGCGTCCATGCAATTCTGTGGCAGATTATACTCCGTCTTCAAATTCATGAGTCGTGCCGCTAAAGAGAGTTGCGAAAGACCTTCTTTACATCCATCATAAATTGGATGTTTTGCAGCTTCCAAAATATCGTAAAACTTTTTTGCTTCAGCATTAGGCTCTTCGTCCATGTTTTGATCAAATCCTGACTCCGTAACACCAAACGCATCTGAAACCATTGTCACATAAGGATTCACTGGCTCCGTGTGAGGAGCAGACTCAAAAGCATCTTCAACAGAATTATTGTCTAGAATATTGTATTCTTCTCCATGAGAAATCCAAACCCAATAATTAGGCATAAACCCTCTATTATATAAATGTCTGGACACGATCTCTTCGGACAATAATGGTAAGCCATTCTCGCATTTGAAACATGGACAAAAGAGTTTGCCTTTCTCGAGAAATAAAGCTTGATTTTTTGCAAATCTCATAAAATTTTCCAATCCTTGGCAAAATTCTTTTGATACTTCATTAGTTGTGTGATCGATTCTTTCATCATACATCCAACTTCTTGCAGCATAATTATTGTTATTTGACGACATCAAATTCGACCTGAAATATTAAAAAATATATCTCAGAAACTTATTCAAATTCAATCTAAAATAACTAGTGTAAAAGTATAAGATTACGATGGTAGTATCTAAAAGTATCTACGATTATATGGACACAAGCAAAGTCAAACAGCAGAGTGGCTCGTATCTATGTTGAAGCCAAAACAGAAGTCTATCACTCGCAAAAGAATAAAGAACCTTGGATTCAATTAAAAATTCATTCGTGAATCATATGTGATGATCCACTAACAAAGTCAAACAGCAAAACCTTGAATTAAATAACTTGAATGAGAACGAACTTACTTTCTTGTATATGAGTTTTCTGTTCGTTAATTGCTCTCGTCCACAAAGCACTATATATATGTTTATTAAACTTTCTGTTCTTATCGTCAATATATAATATATATAGATATATTCTATTTTTTTATTATCTGCTCTGCCTATATTTTTCTTCCCTAAAAAAATTCTTGATTTATTTTCTATTTTTCCCAAAGTATTTTTCAACCCTAACTCCAATTTTTCCAATTGAAACTAAACAAAAAAATAATGGAAAAGAATGAAAAATTAAATACCTTCTTTCACGTTTTATAGAATAAAAGCTTGTGGAAGCATCCGTTTCACGTTTATATAGAATCTTCCCCAATTTTTTATTCATCCTTTTTTATGCGATATCCTATACTATCAAGGTATGTATGTTCTTCAATTAGTGTGATTTCCTCTAGATGTGAATTAAAGGTTTAGCTATTTGATAGTCACCACGTTTTTTGTAGATTGGGGTTTATTGGATTTGATTATTTTTTGGGCAAACTATCAATAATATTGAAACAGAAACAGAGTTACACTCCCACGGGGATTTGATTAAATCTACGATTTTTATCATTACAAACCGTTAGATAAATTTCAGTGCAATCGTTTTTGTTCATGTGGGCGTTTGGATCTATTTCTTTTCTTTTCCAGATTTTAATTAGATTGGGGTTTATTGGATTTGATTGAGAAACATGATTTTGACAAACTGAAAACAAAATTAGTAAACCGAATAAAAGAAATTTATGATGTGATTGATAAGTTGATGATGTTTTAATACAGACCTCACCTCCGTTTTTTCTAAAGTACGAGAAGATGAAACAGGTATAGTTATATCTCACCATTGTAGGTTTTCTGTTTCTGATTTATTAGAATCCTCTCAAATTCTTTACTTTTTGTGCAGATTTCAGATGATAGTCTTTATGATTCACCCCTTTCTGGTATTCTTTTTGCTTATCCTCTTATTAATTAAAATTATTTGATTATTGTAAATTTGTGCGAGAATCTAATTTCATTTATTTCATTTGATTCCCAGAACCTCCAAATTTAAATAATTGGTTTTCGAGCTACGTCTATGAATCACCAATGCTGGATACAAGTGATGATCTTGGATTGTTTGTTTTTGGAAAAGATGAATGTATAAAAGAGACGATAATCGAGAAAGAGATCACAAATTTTGAAAGTACAATCGATGTTGATGAGGATCTTGATCAGTTAATCGTTGACGAGAGTGACATTGAGGAAGGAAAAGAAAACACTACTAGTCTTTTTCGATTTACTAAGAAGGAAAAAGCTGTTTATCTTGCCATGGTAAACTCAAAGGATTACAAGGAGAAATTAGCTGCCCACAAAGTAAGTAATGTTCTCTTTCCTATGAACACGTTGTATTTTTATCGAGGAAAAATTGTGATAAGCGTCTTACTTTGTCGATCTTCTTTTTCGATTTACTATGAAGGAAAAAGCTGCTTATCTTGCCATGGCAAACTCAAATGATTACAAAGAAAAATTAGCTGCCCACAAAGTAAGTAATGTTCTCTTTCCTATGAACACGTTGTATTTTTATCGAGGAAAAATTGTGATAAGCGTCTTACTTTGTCGATCTTCTTTCAGAATGGCACTACAACAACAATAACCGATGAAACGGAAGTAATTTTCTTGAGAAACCGAGTTAAATGTCTAGAAGACGAAGTAAGAAAATTGAATGATACTATTAATCGTTTAGTTAGTTCCAATACCGACTATAAAAGGTAAACTATATATGTCAATTTTTGTGTTCAGCTTATATTTGGAGCATCATCAAGTGTTATTTTTAATTTTTTTTTTTGTTTATATTCATGTTGTCTCAGGGATTAAGTGTTAGACACGAGATGGATAGACATGAAGCAAGCTTGAAATGGATGTTTTATTATAAGTTCAAATTGTTATCTATTTTATAAAACAATAAAATCATTTTAAGTTTTAAAGATAATTATGAATTGTGAAAGATGTAATCGATTATTTTATTTTATTTTTAATTATTTTCTAAAATTTATATATTCCACGTTAAAATACAATGAATATTCACTATATATAGGTATTTTAACTGGATAATCTATATATATTTGAGAAAAGTGTCATAATACCATCACAATTGTTATGACTGAAATTATTTTCACTATTTTGTCATGTTTTAGTACGTAGCAATATTATGACCAAAAAATTACGAATTTGTTACAAAATTTATTTTGTTCCAACGAAGTATCTAAAAAGTCACAAATTTATGACCAATAATTTGTCCCAAATTAATGTCACCATTTGTGACTACATATTGGTAATACAAACGTCACCACTGTTACGACTAATATTAACGTCACTATTTTGTCACTCATCGAGACAATTTACAGTTACTATTTAGTGCGTAACAATATTGTGACGAAATAATTACGAATTTATGACAAAAAAAAATCGTCACAACATAGTATCTAAAAAAGTCACAAATTTGTGACAATTTTTTTTCGTCTCAACTGAACGTCATAATGATTCTTTTTTTTTGTAGTGTTTGCTTAAATTTTGTTTAAATTATGTTTATATATTTATATAATTTTTAAGAAAATCTATTAAGCTATATATTCATCCACAATTACATGATCGAACCAATTCAATTTGGAGATTTGGTGACCAGGAAAATAATCCAATTTGATTTCTATATTATATTTAAAACATATCATGAAACCAAACACAACCACTATATAAATTGTAAATAATGAATTTTTTTATTTAGCTAATAATTTTTTTTTTTTATTATACATAAGATTATTTAGAAAAATAAATAGCTTAAAATCCAGCCGTGCATGTTTGGTTAACTAATAGTTAATATTAAAATAGATTAACTAATTCGAATTATTAATGTTTGTGTAAATATATGTTTATGAGTATATTAACGGGAGGGAAATATAGGTGGATAACAAACGTGAGGGAGGTGGTGACACCTAAAGGTTCACAATTTTACTTTGACTTGTAGTTTAAAATACTTTAAATTGATGATTATAAGAAAAAAGGGGCTATGAATTCATGCATTAAAAAATCAAACGATACAAAAAAACAAAGTAAAATGATTGGCAAGTGGATTATTACAAGTCCAATCTTCGTCCAACAAGCAATATCTACGAAGAACGGGACGACCACTTGGTGTGTGGCAAAGGGCTTTGCTTGATCTTCTACTGAACCTTGAATGAATTCGCATGTGAATTCAATGACTGCAGTTCAATCAAAGCGGACGGACGACCAACCCAAGTCTCTTCAAGTGCAATGAACTCTTACTACCAGCGTACCGGGAGAAAGTTATGGACATGTTATTTTCAATAATTCAGGAATTGTAACGACAACTGATCCAAGTGATACTTTCTTAAAACTTATTTTTACGTCTTTACCATTGTATATACTAGGTTATTAACCCCCGCTACGCTGGGTTTTTTTTTTTTTTTTTTTTTTTTTTTTTTTTTTTTTTTTTTTAAATTACTTAATTTCCATTAAAAAGAAAAAAACATACATAGCCCGAAGGCCCATGACGGCCACAAGGCCCAACAGAAAACTTAGAAACAACAGACACAACCCATAGGCCCAGACGACCACAAGGTGCAAACAAAAGAAAACCAGAGCAGAAGACAGGCCCAAACCCAGAAAAAGCAAACCAAACCAGCATTGAGCCAGCACGAACACCAACCTGACGCCTTTAAGGATCCTGGAAAAGAGAAAACCAAGTTACCAAGAGGGAAGATCCGAGAGGAACAGACGACTGAGCCCTAGAGATAGGATCCAGCCTCGCTCTGATGATCAATTGTATTTCTTTAATAATCAGCTGAGGAGTTCTTGAAGAATCGGAATGAATTCGCTCATTTCGCTCTCTCCAAACAAGATAGATCGTTGCCTGAAAGATGAGTTTGATGATAAGAGACAAATTCCTGGATGTAGTGGCAGTCTTTAACCAGAGGAGAGCATCCATGAACTGATTTGGAGGAGATAACCCCGCTCTAGTCATAAAGAATCTCCAGACCGCACCACTATACTCGCATTCGAAAAACAAGTGATCGCGAGATTCATCTCTGGTATTACACAGAACACACAGAGTTGGTGTAATCAAACCCCAACTAGACAATCTGTCCCTCGTATGCAAACGGTTCCAAGCAACCACCCAGCAGATGAAGGCATGCTTTGGCACCCTATCTTTAAACCACACCGAGTTATGCCAAGGAACAACAGCCCCATTAGGGTTAAGAGCTAACCACGTCTTAGCCGTAGAGAATACATTCGACGGAGCATGATTATCCGGCTTCCAAAGATAGACATCATCCTGTAAACAATCAATCATACTTTCGACATCCGGGAGGACCCTCTTGATTAAGTTGATGGTTGGATTTCTGCTGCGGCTCGAGGAAATCCACCAATCTCTTCCTCGCAGGCCGTCCCGCACCACGGCATTTATAGGCAGCCCAACAGAAGAAGGACCATTACTTCCAGTCAACTCGAGAAGGGGGCCAAGACCTGTCCAATTGTCATGCCAGAAACTCGCAGTGACTCCTGAACCAACATCACACACAAGGAAAGGCCTAGCCAATGGCCTTAATTTGCATAGTTTTCTCCAAATCCAACTGCCAGAGTTAGAAGGATTTAATTCCCAGAAGTTTCTGTGTCTAATCAGATTAATCCTCACCCAAGAAACCCATAAAGAACCCGCAGCTGTGAAAATAAGCCATATCAATTTTAAAGCCAGAACCTTGTTCCATGCAGCTAATCTCCGGAGGCCAAGACCACCACATTCTTTGGAAGTACACACAGTTTCCCAAGCAATCTTAGCACCTCTAGCCGAATTAGGAGCCCCCTTCCATAAGAAGGCGTTGCACATCTGCTCAAGCTTGAGAATACACTGATTTGGTAATAAGAAAATAGACAGCCAGAAATTAATAGTAGAGTATATCACAGATTTCAATAACTGAAGTCTCCCAGCGAAGGAAAGATGCCTCGCAGTCCAAGAGGAGAACTTGCTGTTAATTCTATCAAGGAGGGGCTGATAGTCCACTTTCTTCATTTTTTGCGCACTAAGAGGGACCCCTAAGTATCGGACAGGCAAGGCGCCGTGCGTGAGACCAAAACTCTCCGAAATTAAATTGTTCCTCTCAAAGTCTCCTCCATCAAGAAGCAGCGCAGTCTTACTCAAATTAATTCCCAGACCAGAACCTTTCTTGAAATCCTCCAAAATATTAAGAATCCCACCAATAGAAAAATCAGAGCCATCAAAGAAAACCAACACATCGTCCGCGAAGCTAAGATGCGTAATCAGAGGAGCGAAGCATCGAGGATGAGGAACAAAAAGCCCATTGACCGCTCCTCGATCCAAAGACTTGGCCAATATATCCATAACCAAGACGAAAAGATGGGACGACATAGGATCTCCTTGCCTTATTCCTTTCTTACCTTGGAAAAATCCAACAAGCTCTCCATTTAAGGCAATGCTATAAGAAGGAGTAGTTATGCAAACCTTAATCCAAGAGATGAAAATAGGAGGCAGATCAAGGGCAACAAGAATGTTGATTAGGAATTCCCAATTCACATTATCATAAGCTTTCGTGAGGTCTATCTGTAAGCAGCCTCTAGTTACTTCCCCATTGAGTTGAAAATTCTCCACTAATTCGGACGCTAAAAGGATATTTTCACATAGCAGACGTCCTTTAATGAAGCCTACTTGATTTCCTTGAACAGCCTGAGAAATGAATAGCTTGAGTCTCTTAGAAATTAGACGGGTTATGACTTTGTAGATGGTGTTACAACATGCAACTGGTCTAAACTGAGCCAATTGGTCTGCTCCAATCTCCTTTGGAATAAGAGTGATGGCCGTTGTATTAAATTTCCGGAGCAAGTGACCTGTTCTAAAAAACTCCTTAACCGCAGCGAGAGTACAATCTTTTACAGCTTCCCAAGCATCCCAAAAGAACTCAGCCGGAAAACCATCAGGCCCCGGAGCCTTGTTTCTAGGCATGGAGAAGATAGTTTGGATGATTTCTTCATCAGATGGAATGGCTGAGATTTTTTCAGCAAGAGCCTGATCACACCTGAAAGGATGAAGAGACCTGATACTATCCACAGAGAAGGGAGTAACATTGTCACTAGCCGACCCCAAGAGATGAGTGTAGTACACCTCCAACATACCCTTTATCTGATCAACATTCTCAACTCTGACCCCATCCTCTCTTCTAAGATATTTGATCAGATTTTTTGCATGGTGAGCCAAAACCGCCTTGTGGAAAAATCTAGTATTAGCATCTCCCTCCTTAAGCCATTTGATACGAGATTTCTGTCTATAAAAAGACTCCAATGCAACCGCAAAGAAATCCCACTTCTTTCTAGCAACATGCTCCTCCCTGAATAAGGAAGCAGAAGGGTTAGTCATCATCATGGATTGGATATCTTCTAGGGCAGTGAGAGCCTCTTTAGTGCGCTGTTGCAAGTTACTAAAACCCTGCCGATTTAGCAACCTACACGCCTTTTTTGCTGCCTTGAGATGTTCACCAAGCGTAAACATTGCAGAACCAACTGTAGTCTCAGCACTCCAGGCGTTTTTGATGATGCTCATGAACTGAGGATGAGAAGCCAAGAAGGAAAAATATTTGAAACATTTCTTAGAGACTGCCAGTTGATTGTCAAGTTGGATGATGCAAGGGGCATGGTCTGAGTCGCCTGGTGGATCAAAGATAGCAGTAGCACTTGAAAATGTAGAAAACCATTCTCCATTAGCTATTACTCTGTCCAGTTTCCTGATTATAGGATTATCGGGCTGGTGATTAGACCAAGTGTAGAACAGACCTCGGGAAGGTATGTCCTCCAAATCATTGTCCCTCAAGCAAGATTGAAAGTCCTCAAGTCCCCTCAGCGACGAATTTGAATGAATAATTGAGTAATGTTCATTTAAAGAAGCAATCTGGTTGAAATCCCCTGCCAAAATCCAAGCCGTTTCACACAAAGGAGAGGAAGCAGCCAACCTAGAAATGTCTTCC